AAGGGAAAGCCGCTGGCAGTGGAAGTGCCTCGAGTTTTGGTTGTGGAGGAGCAAGTAGATTTCGATTTGAAGTGCAGTGCCAGCAGAGTTTGAGAAACGGCAACGGTACCGGGACAATAGGGATCTAAGGAGGCCGTGAACGAAAGGGCGAGGAAAGCGCGGAGCTCCAGAGAATGGAGTCCTGTGTAAGAATGAAGTTTATTAAAAATGCTTTTAATTCCATAAATTATGATGATTTAAACTCTCTGCTTAATTTACTTATTGATCTGGCCAATTGATTTGTTAAAATCTGTTGTGAAATATAGTGACTCAAAAAGTCTATGCTTTCCTCAACAAAGTAAGAGTCACATTTGGTCTCATGGATGCGAATGTAGTCCATGGGGTTAAGTGAAAATAAATAGGGAAATAAGTTTTAATAGAATTTGAGGTTTTAGAGTGACAAACTAAAATTTCCAATTTGGTCCCGGTGTTTGGAAACTAAAGTGAGATGGTAGCCTCAGGTGAGAGGAAAGTGGGAACTGTAGAGTGACAGCTAGTACCTTCCGAGCCTAACCATGGGTTTAAGAAATAAACTCTTGATTAGCCAACGTTCTTTATGCACTCAAGAGAGGGTAAAGAATAGATATGATTCTATTTGGCATAATACATTAATTATTTTTAAAATTAATTGATTCCTACATTGATTATAAAATCATTGTAAGGGGAACGATGTTTCATATAAATTTGAACTCTTTTATACATTATTTTTTAGAATTTCTTAGTAGTAACATTACATTTTAGCCTTTTTAGATTGCCTTTATATTCCACATTTGCTTAACATACTTAACATTCCTTTTAATTCTATAGGATTAGGTATTACACAAAATTTTTTTTATCATTTCATATATAAGTTAACTATAGTTTAAAGAATATTTTACTAAAGTCATCCTATAAAATTTTTTCCTATCCCTGCGGGATCGATACATAGGACTCCATTAGAGCCCTATAATACTTGAAATGATATGTATACTTACGTAGTACCCCTAGTGTGTAAACCATTTTTATCAAATTTATATAATATTTAATTTTGCACATTAGCTGCTAAATATAAATTGGGTCAATATTTTGGTCATACCTCAGAACTAAAATAATTATGTAATTGCGAGTTGGGTCAAGTTTTTGGTGTCGTTGCCTGGGATAGCAATGAAAACTTTTGACTTAAGAAAATCTTAATTTTAACTATAGAATTAATATAGGAAACCTATAGTGTCATTTATATATGTGCTTTTATGTGTATTTAAAAATAAAAATATAAAAAATAAAAATATATATACATATTTTTTGTGTTTTATTTGTTTTTTTAATTTATCTTTAATAGTGTATGTGTAGTACGGGATCTGAAGGATTAGTGCCTTACAATTTTAAGTTAGAGCGAACTATTATAAAAATTAGAAAAAAAAAGAACTTCATAATTTCCAAGAAATGACAAATACTTTACATAATAATTTAGAAAATTAAATAGATGATAAAAACCATTAAGAGATTAAGCTAACCCAACGATAAATGAAATTTATTGAAGCATACAAACTCCTGCCGTAGAAGCCAATACATTTGAATTAAAATATGTTATCATCTAGATGGCAAAGAATAACTATTTTGGGGGAATTTCATTTGAAGATCCTAACTTACATCTTGCAATTTCTTAGAACTTTGTGCCACATTTCAGTATAAAAGTGTCTCTAAAGATGCTGTTAGACTTAGGCTTTTTCATTTTTCTTAAGAGATAAAGCTAAAATGTGGTTGGACTCATAAGGACCTGAATCTATTTGAACTTGGTGTGACCTAGCACAAAAATTCTTGGCAAGTATTTTACACCTTTAAAGACTGCTAAGCTTAGAAATAATATTACATCTTTTTGTCAGTTTGAAGGGGAATCAATATACGAGACTTGAGAACGCTTTAAAGAACTTCTTAAGAAGTGTCCACATCACTCTTTGCCTGATTGGTTAATAATTTAAATAGTTTATAATAGGTTAGTAGGATCTCTTTGATCTATTATTGATGCTACTGGTGTTGGTTCTTTAATGTCAAAATCTTTTGATGTGGCATATTATTTAATTGAAGAAATGATTACTAATAATTTTTAATGGCCTTCTGAAAGGGTAAATCCTAAAAGAATAGCTAGTATTCATGATTCTGATACTATTTCTATGTTAACATCTCAAGTAGCTGTAATATCAAGAAAGATAGATCTATTTGGAATGAATTTGTCTCAAACACCTCTAGTGATTGAAGAAAATTCATTAGGACAAATGGTCGATTCCAAAATTCCTACATTTGAGACTTTAAATGCAATTACCAATAAACTTAATAAATCCTATTCTAATTATTACAACCCAGGTTGGAAAAATCACTATAACTTTAACTGGAATATAAATTATAGTGGTGCTAACCAGCAATGGGGGAACAATCAAGCGAACACATTGAGAAACCGGAACAACCTGAGTAATGCTAACTAAAGACCAACTTATCCTCCTAGATTTAACAGGGAACAACCTGAGTAATGTTAACTAAAGACCAACTTATCCTCCTAGATTTAACAGTAACCACCAATTTAAGGGAAAAAAAGTTGTTTATAGAAGAGATGGTGTTACATATGTGTAATCAATTACAAAGTCAAGGAGCGACAATTAGAAATATTGAGAATCAACTGGGACAAATTGTCAATGCACTTAGCAGCAGGCCTCAGTGAATTCTTCCTAGTAATACAAAAAATAATCCTAAAGACCATAACAAAGAGCAAGTTAAAGCTATCCAATTAAGAAGTGGAAGAGAATTGCAGACGAGAGTTCAAAAAGAGATTGAAGTTGAGAGAAGAGAAATTGAAAAGTCTGATTGAGATATTCCTCAAGACTTAGAAAAACCTATTTCCCCAATGAAGTACAATTTAGAATGACCACCATCTTCGTTTCCTCAGAGACTTCGGCAACAGAAGTTAAACAAAAAATTTTCAATGTTCCTAGAATAATTCAAGAAGTTAAAAATTAATATATTATTTGTTGAAGCTCTGGAACAGATGTCGAGCTATGTAAATTTTATCAAGGATATTCTTTAAAAGAAAAGGAAGTTTATAGATAATGAGACTTTGGCCTTTAGTGAAGAGTGTAGCGCTATAATTCAGAAAAAACTTCCTCAAAAACATAAAGATCCAGGTAGCTTTATTACATGCCTAAAATACGTTGCTTTTATTTGTATAGTTATACATATCTTCAATGATATTTCACTTTAATGAAAGGTATGTTTGATTTTTTTTATTGTAGGAACATAAGGGTCCGTTTGGGGCAGCTTGTGCATTTTAGGGGTCGACCCGCGGCCTGCGTTTAATGTCTTATCTTGAAACGCGGCTTGCAGGCCGGTCGTAGGAGTTGACCCGCGATCTGCGTTTAGTGTAAAAACCCAAACGCAGTTTCGGATAAGCTGGTGAAAAGCGCGAACCAAACGGTACGACGGCGTTTTGAAAATGTCGCCCGCACTTATAAGCTGCGACGACGTTTTGAAAATTTCGCCCGCACTTATAAGCTGCCCCAAACGGACCCTAAATGAAGTAAATGGAGCAAATGGAGCAAAAATGAAGCATATTGGAGTCAAATGAAGCAAAAAGGCCAATTTTGATATAGCTCCTAGGCACCAGAGACGGTTATCTAGAAGATCCATTGAACTGGGACGAATTTTGAAGAGGTGCTTGAAGAGACTCCTGGGGATTTTGAGAGCTCTATTTAAAGAGACTTCTAGATATTTAAAAGAGAGACTTTTGAGAGGACAAAAAGGGAGTCTTTTTTAGAGAACTGGATTCTTCCTAGAGAGGAGAAAGTCTTGGAGGTTTGCATAGGACTTGGAGGAGAAGAGGAGAAGTGAGAGACATCTTCTTCACTGCAGATTCTAAATAAGTTGGGAGTGAATTGTAAGGGGAGTGAGTGATTCAAAGGAAATTGAATGATTAATTAAGAAAGAGTTTAAGATAAGTTGTGCACTTTGTTTATTTTACTTTGTCTTGTCTTGTAAACTTTTATTTTTTTTTGTAAATCCATATGTTGTTGTTTCTTCCCCATGAGATCTAAGTAGTTTCCTTTGTTTTTTCTCCCTGCAATGAGGAATAATTATGTGTAGGAATGTAGTTTAGAAGAAGTGCTTTTAAAATTCCATAAATTGTGATTATTCAAGTACTATGCTTCACTTACTTGTCAATCTAGCCAATTCTTTTTTTAAACTTTGTTGTAAAATTTAGTGATCTGAAGCGGGCTATGTTCCAACATAGTAAGATTCACATTTAGCCTCATGGATGAGAATGTAGTCCTTGAGGTTAAGTGCAAATAAATAGAGAAATAAGTTTTGTTGGGCGTAGAATTGGAGATTTTAGGGTGACAAACTAAAATCCCCAATTTGGTCCAGATGTTTGCAAACTAAAATGAGATGTTAGGCCTCAAAGGAGGGAAGTGGGAACTCTAGAGTGAGAGCTAGTATCTTGCCAACCTAACCATAGGTTTTGGGACCAAACTCTAGACTAGCCAACATTCTTTATGCACTTGATAGAGGGTAAAGAATAGAATTGCTCCTCTTTGGCAAAATACCTTAGTTATATTTTAAAATTATTTTTAAACACTACTTATAAACTCATTGTAAGAGGAATGATGTTTTATACAAATTTAAACTCTTCCTGCATTATTAGTTTAAAGTAGAGGTAACTTTACATTTTAAAACATTTTTAAATTGTCTTGCATTTTCATTTTGAATTTGTTTAGCATACTAGCATTCCTTTAATTCTATAGGATTAGATATTCCACAAAAAGTTGTGATCATTTACTATGTAAGTTTTCTATAATTGAAAAGTAGTTTTTATTAAAGTCAATTTTATAAGAGTTTTAGTTAATTCCCGCGGGATCGATACTGAGATTTTTAAAGAAAATTCTATATTACTTGAAAAGATATGTATACTTGAGTAAACCCCTAGTGTGTAAATCCTCTTTATCAACTTTATAAAATATTTAATTTTGCACACTAGCCACTAGATATAAATTAGGGCAAGCTTTTGGTTGTATCTGTGAAACTAAATAATTACGTAACTGCGGGTCAAGTCAAGTAGTTGGCACAGTTGCCGGGGAAATTAACAATGAAACCTTTTTGACTCAG